CCTCATCAAAAGCGTTAAGTAATGGTCTGCGTTTTTATCTAATACGATAATTAAGAATGCAAAATAACCGCTATCATCTACGAGTCCTCCGGTTTTACTTATAGACTCAAAACCGCGGTACAAAGTTTCAATTATAAATTTGCTCCATTTTTCTCAAGTAAAAGCTCATTGCCATTTAAGGTACACCGCTATATTTCTTTTATTTGTATTTCTTTAACAAAAGCTTTATCACTAAAAATTACACCCTGAATTTTTCATGAACACCTGAACTAACCCCATGAAAACTGATTACATTTTTTTGTTTGGTGTGCTTGTCGTTAAGGAAAGAAATCAATAAAGCCGCTTCTTACACTGAGTGCTAATGGGCTGCTTAACCTTTAGGAAATAAAAGATAAGTTAATTCTCTGTTACTGAGATCTTTTTGCTAAAATGTACTGACACAAAGCGTTAAGGACTGTTCTACACAAACATGGGCTTATCGAAGCATTTAGATTTTAGTGCCGAACTGAAAATTGTCCCTTGAATACTTCCTCTTTCCACTTTTCTTTGTCCGTTTTTACACCTGTCCACTGAATAAAAATAAAAAAAACAATATACGAGGTATAGTCGGGTGCATTATACGCCTTTTAGAAAATACATGAGTTTTAATCGTTGTATATAAGTAGTTAAAAGATAAGCGGAACTTTTAAAATTCTTGTGAAAAAATTTATTTTGCATTTGATGGATCGCTAATTCTCAATTTATACTCAACTAAATTAGCGTCTTCCGTCGCAGACAATGAGTCTAGCTTTTTCTGTGTTCTACTGTAATTTTTACGGCCTCCAATATTATGTTAAAATTGACTAGGATAAAAGAAAATAAAACGTCAACAAAAGAGTAATCACTAGTTAAGCAATAGAAAACGTTGTCCGTGTTTGCATAGCCTGATATAAACACTAGAGGGGTCGGGAGATGAGACAGTTATGCAAATCCGAGAATTCTCCCAACCCCTCGAGTGTTAGAAAATTATTGCGTCATTGTGGCGGGAAAACTCGTCACCTGATCTGAGAACTGAAGTTTGCACAGGAGTCTAGGAACTGTGTAGTCGTTCGAAGTCGTGGAACTGATCGAGTGTGTAGATTGAGTGTAGATCATCGAAATTTTACACGAATTGATGTCGATGAATTCTTTAAGTGTAGAACGGAGAAGAGAATTCTAAAATATGAACTTGTGAAAAAATATACTCTCAAGGGAGTGAAGAATTAAATGCTAAAAGGAACTGGTTGCATCACACATAATTTGTGACGGGGCTTAAAAGGCAAGAAGGTTTGCGCGTTACCGTTTGAGCTCGATCGTTGATCCCAAAAAGTTAAAAAGATTGTTCGGATTTCTCACGTAAATGTTACATGATCGAGACGATTGGCAAAGACGATTCTAGTCTTTTTAGTGCAACGGCAACTGGTTGGGAAAATGTTGCAACCATTCGAAACAATGCCGCAACAAAGCTGTAAATGCTGTAATTAATGCGCTTAAACTCGCCGTTACGAATCGTCTCGCCGAACATCACTTAAACGCGGCATTGCCTAAAAAATGGCGAAGTGGTCATCTCCTTCGTTTACCATTTAACGAGATGTGACATGGAAACGTTCAGTTAGAGTGGCACGCGTTCCGCCAAAACCGTGACGGGGAAAGGGGTATAGTCCCAGGCGCGCTCGAAGTTTCTTTCAAATGACTCTCGCCCAGGCTGGAAAGCCCTCATTTGTTACTTCTAGGTCACATGACACCTAATTTAAGCTGTTTATCGCCAAGTTTTAGCCTCGGCGAGCAAGCTCTCCTATTTGGGCGAGTGAAGTGAGTCTCGCGAGAACGCGCGAGCGAGCGGCGAAGCCGCGAGGGGCGGAGGAAAGGAAACAAGAACAGGTGCATCAGCATAACATTTCTTAACAACAAAGTTTATTCAAGGAAAAGAAAGAGTGTCCTCTGTCACAACGCAGTTTAAAACACTCCCGCAAAAAAAATGACTTCTGAGATTTTAGCATCGAATAGGAGATTCATTTATCAAAAACCGAACTTTAAAACTTTAAACTTTCTCCCAGTTCTAAAATATGACTTATCATATTATTTTATATTCTGGAAATGAAGCCTAGAGACCCCGGATCACGCCGTTTTATTAATGGCAGGGTTCATTACCATAGCTGCAAAGAACTACAGAAAGAATTCTGAATTGCGGCTCATTCTAATATCAGATTATCGCGTGCACCTCATAAAACGCCAACAAACAGAAAATTAATCCTTTCCTCGGCCCCTCGCTCGTGCGTTCTCGCGAGGCTCGCTTCGTTTGCCCAAATAGGAGAGCCTGCTCGCAGGCTAGTACACGGAGGGCCAACGAAACTTTCGGTTGGCAATTCGTATCTGTTCCCGGTAGGCTGCCAGTTCCAGGTAACGCTCGGGCGTGCAGAAACAATTTCCATCTCGTACTTAGTCCACACTTGCAACTAAACATCAAACGAGTCAACGGGACGCTTGCTTGGAGGCCTTGCAATAGGGATTAGCTCACCCGAAACAGTGCCGAGAGTGTGTGCAACATTCCCTCATCGCTTTGATTAGGTCATCAAACGCTTAAAGAAGATAATACCTCTGAAAAATCCACATACTCACCATTGATGGCGGCTGGGACGAATTTTTCCGGTAGATGGTGAGCTTTGGGTGCTTGTTTAACCGGCAACAGACTTGCATCCTCGTGAGTTGTTTTGGAGGCGTTTCGGGCGGAGATTTCATCCATTCGTTTTTTCATTGTCGTCTGCTCTGCCGTGAGGTTTTGCAACTGCAGGGACAGATTCCGCATCTCGTCCAGAACAGAAGCTGCTGCGATCCAAGTTGCTTTTGCGGGCCGCTCTCGGCTGAAAGAGAAGAAAGAGATTTTCCCTGGCATGGCGGCAACTCCTCGCCTGCTGATAATCCGTCGTCAAGAATCTCGTTCTTGATTGGCGGCCCCGCACAGTTCTTTCTCGGGGCAGCGAAGGCATGGTTCTGTTTCGGCGTCTTGCAGCCAGGGCAAAGAGATTTGCGTTTAGCAGGCATAATAAATGGAATAAAATAGCTTATAAATTGTGGCTGAAAGAAAGTGATTTCAAAAAGTGTTAATCGCTATTTTGACATTAATCACGTATATCATCTCGCATCTCACGGTAACCTCAATTGTTTGGGAAGTCACGGTGCATGTATATTGCGGATTTCAGACCTTGACATCATGGTGTTCAATCCCATTTAACAAGAAACTTCTGTCGGTTGTCCATGTGACAACAATCACTCACATGTTCCATCTCTCGTTGCAGTCTTTCATATTGCCGCATCAGCCAATCAACGACAAGACGCCACTGCACATGTTTCAAGTCCCAACAGATACAATTGAGAAGACCTCCGGTCTAATAGTCTTCGACAAGGTTCCCCGTCAGAATATAAAACATATATAAAACAAATCCGACCAACGATTCCACTAAGAATCATTGACGGGCTTAATCAGTTCGAAAACTTTCAGGCTTTGTTGAAGGCCTGGCTACCTTACTTTATGCCTGGCTTCCCGGGCCTGTAAGTTTGAGAGTACAACATAGCTTCTTGATCCTCCACAGATAAACAGCGAAGCGTTTTCTTTTGTCATGAACCGAACTGAAAAGACTGCTAACATTTAGCTCTTTTTGCTCCGTATGAGAGCAGTCTTATTTCAAAGACGTCGTTGTTATTTAAAAGAAGGAAATAATATGTTAGCCCCTATTTTGTTTTTTTTTATTTGCGCAAAATTCACTCAGCATCTTTGAGCATAATTTCGGACATAATGCTATGATTTTAGGAGTGACGTCCAAAAGCATAACGCTCAAATTTTCGAGCATAATTTATCTAACCCTACCTCGTCCTCGAATCTAAAGCTCTCTATTGCAGTCATACTTCTTTTTGCATTTCAACTCTATAACTACTAGGAATAGAACAAGTTCGAGTAATAGTATATTAGTACTTATACAAAGACAATTTTCAAACTACAATAATTCTATCTTTTTCATAACATTTTCCTTATTTGTTCACTTAAGTTTCCCTTCCACGAATATCTTGTCACCTGATCTTGTTGTGTATTTCGCCCCACCCCTCCCCCCTCCATCGCATTTCTTATGGTACCTCCCTTAAAGTTCCCTACAATTTAGATATGTGCCATCATAAGTCGAGTAAAAGTTGGTTTTCAGTAGCGACCGAGTCAAGTCGGAGTCGTAATCGGAACGTAAACGTTACACGATCTAGTGAAACAGGGTTTGGATTCCGCTTACGACTCCATGGTTTACGATTCAGTTTCGGTTAGTTTATTTATTTGCCAGAAAAAAAAAATAGAGAGAGGCAGCTGCCTTTATAGCAGACACTCTAGGGATCTGGATTTAGTGTTTTCATAAACGAGATTCCGTAATAGCAGAAGTTTATTGCAGTCAAACGTCTGTAATATATTTTTGCCTGGGATTCAGCTGCTGTCCGTATTATCGGGGTGTCCGTGATATTAACGGGGTGTCCACAAGGCGAGAGTTGACTATATTACAAAAATGTTAGTTAAAGATTAAAGAGACGTAAATTGTAAGAAGAATAAATAAAATGATATGTGTGGAGAGAACACAGAAAAAAAAAATCTGAGTTCCAGATGGGAATTGAACCCATGACCTTCCGTTTACACTAGTCGGATGCTCTGACCACTGAGCTACTGAGATCTCAGTGGTAAGCAAGTCAATTGTGTAAATTGTAAGTAAAAGAATGAAAAGTATTTTTCTGGCGAGGAAGCTCAAATTGAGACCTTGGAGCTTATTATATGATCTTCCCCCCTAACCTGCCCCTGAGAGAGTGGAAACGTTCCTATTCTTCCAACTCCGATTCCGTCGTGTTTATGATTCCGCTTTCGACTCAGAGTTTTGACTTTCACCATCAGGAGCACTCTTACGACTCCGACTCTGACTTCGTCGCTAGTGAAAACTAGCCTAAGGTTCTTAAGTTGCTCAAATCAGAGCTTGAATGTCAGGTGTGATACACTGGCAGGTCGAGAGATCAATATTCCCTTGACAATACTCTTTAGCAGATTGTGAGCAGCTGCATCCGCAATTCGTGTAGTTCCATGTCATGTGATACCCAGTGCAGCTAGAGGGTGTCTCAGCACATTCGCAGTCGCAGGTAGCTGCGTTCCTACGCTGATTTGACTCGCACGCACTTAGGTCAGACCTGCATTTACAAGAGCACGAGCCGACGTCCCACACACGTTTGACGGGGTCGCAGGCACTTGAGCTCTTGATACAATCACAAGAGCAGTGTGTGTGATTGTACATGGTGACAATCGTTCCGACCTTAGAATTACCTTGAATCTTGAGCACTTCGACGGAAATTTGGGTCTCTGCGCTGACAGTACAATGATAATCATTCTGTGCGGTGGGGCATCCCCCACTGCATCGGTGCAGGGTGACGAAAGAAGGATGGTTGAAATATATTTTATCATTTGGAACTTTGATTGCAGCTGGCCTCGGTTGACAATAAGCTTCCTTTAGCGGTTTGGGGGCCGTATCTGTTAATCAATCAAATTGTTCATCAACGGTCAGCTGAATATAAACTTACGGTTGCGAGGGAGACTAATTAACTCCAACATAACCTGCTAGCAGGCTCTCCATGTATAGGGAGCGAGGCGAGCCGCGAGTCTCTTTTCTCGTGCTGCTCTCGCGTGACGTCTTGCGACTCCCTCAAATAAAGAGCTTGCTCGCAGGCTACAATCTTGGACAAAATAAATGGAAAACCTAGACCCCCTCTCCTCCCCAAATCAAGTATGGGAAAATGGCGCGTTTTTGCCCTTCGCGCAGCTTCATCCTTGATTTGGGGGGGATGGGGGTTTGCTGTTCCATTTTATTTTGTCCAAGATTGTAGCTCCAACAGGGGTGCTATATCCGGATACGTTTGGCCTCCGAACCCACCAATCCACGTGCCCAGTCACGACTGGTGTCCTTTTCCCTATGCAATTGCAAGTTCGTGCTCCCACCATAAAACACTACAAACGTCTGTAAAGTTTTGCAACTTTGTGGTGCAATATCTTCGCTACCTGTTTACGGTATTACCTTTAAACTTGCTTTGTAAGTTTGCTAATTTCAAGGCGCTCTTTCCAGCGGTATAAATGGAGATTTGCTAACTAGTCTTTGTCAAAATATGAAAGAGTCTATTGCTAGAGCTCTTACCTACTGATATATTAAGACCTGCGGAATGCTCTGGAACATCAATTAACACCGGCTTTAAAGGAACTGACTCGTCTTGTTGTTGGATAGATATAGCGACCTCTGGGTCAAACTTAGCATCTCCAAACGGAAATCCCCTTTTTTCAAAGAACTTTGTAAGTCCTTGTGGATAAGCCTGTCAAAAGTGAATTTAAGATGTGAGGGTTCTCTTATTTTGAAGCGTTTCAGAAGGTAAAATTTTGTACTCTGCTGAAGACTCAGGAAATGGGAAACCATTCCCTGTTCAGCGGCATATACCTATCCGGGCACAGCCTGTGCTAGGATCACGGACGTCGCAAAAATAACAAGCGATGCGAAAATAGGGCGCGCGTCAACAAGCCACGCGCGTTTTTCGCATCACTTTTAACTGCATGACTGCGCTACTATCTTGGGGTCTGGAATAGGCTAGTCCGGGCCAACTAAGGGAGTGCCTAACCTCCTCCCGGATCGTTATGTTTGTGCAGATCACAGTCTGATCCCGTACCAATTCGTACGATTGGCTGTTAATGGGGTAGCTCTTGAAAGTTATAAAGATGGCTTAAGCCTGTTTTTCAGTAGCGCAAAGGCATTGCTTTGGATGGAGGCCAAGGGCGGAAGCGTCGAGGATGGTTGTATACAAGGTTGTATCTAAGACGTCAAGAAGGCGAGCTTGAGCGTCCTTGCGTGAGGCCGCGTGGATGCGCGTTTGTATGTCGAACAATTACTCGGAGGGCCAACGAAACTTTCGGTTGGCAATTTGTATCTCGGTAAGCTGCCAGTTCCAAGCAACGCTCGGGCCGTTCAGAAACAATTTCCATCTCGTACTTGGTCCACACTTGCAACCAGACATCAAACGAGTCAACGGGACGCTTGCTTGGAGACCTCGCAATACCGATTAGCTCGCCCGAGACTGTGCCGAGAGTGTGTGCAACATTCCCTCATCGCTTTGATTGGGTCGTCAAACACTTAAAGAAGATAATACCTCTGAAAAATCCACATACTCACCATTGATGGCGGCTGGGACGAATTTTTCCGGTAGATGGTGAGCTTTGGGTGCTTGTTTAACCGGCAACAGAGAATCGCTAGCGCCTGGGCCTGAACAGCGACTTGCATCCTCGTGAGTTTTTTTTTCTTTTTTTTTTTGGGGGGGGGGGGGCCTTCCGGCGGGGGATTTCGCCCATTCTTTTTTTCTTTGTCGTCTGCTCTGTTGTTGGGTGTTCTGTCTGAATTGCAATAAGTTGAAACACCCCCTGACCACACACTTATGAGCGACGAGAGAAAATTTACAGGGAAAAGGTTGGCGTTGGGTGCTAGTTTTCCCCTGAACTAGGAAGCCCCTGGCCCTGGGGCCTGAAGGGGCGGGTGATCCCTGGGAGTTTTTTTTCTGTTTTTTTTTTGGGGGGGGGGGGGCCTTCCGGGCGGAGATTTCATCCATTCGTTTATTCATTGTCGTCTGCTCTGCTGTGAGGTTTTCCAACCGCAGGGACAGATTCCGCATCGCGTGCAGAACAGAAGCTGCTGCGATTCAAGTTGCTTTTGCGGGCCGCTCTCGGCCGAAGGCGAAGAAACAGATTTTCCTTGACAAGGCGGCAACTCCTCGCCTGCTAATAATTCGTCGTCAAGAATCTCGTTCTTGACTGGCGGCCTAGTCTCCCACGCAGGCGTTTTTAGGGGAGCTCGTTTCTCGTCCCTTGTGGGGAGGGATGAAAACGAGCTCCCCTAAAAACGCCTGCGTGGGAGGCTACTGGCGGCCCGGCACAGCGCTTGCTCGGGGCAGCGAAGGCATGGTTCTGTTTCGGCGTCTTGCAGCCAGGGCAAAGAGATTTGCGCTTAGCAGGCATAATAAACACGAAAAATACAAAAATACAACAACTCACGGAGCGAGCGAACCGAACGATACGACACACGAGGTTACAAAGTGAAACGTGATTCCTAAACTATGTACAATACATGCTACCATTAAATTCTATTAATACAGTGAAACCTGTATTAAGCGGATACCGTATTAAGCGGACAGTAGCCGAAGTCCCTAAATTTATTTCCCTTATTTTCTTTAAAAGAAACCTTTATTAAGCGGACACCTAAAAAGTACCTGAAATGGTCATTTCTATTGTTGCCAACCCGTATTAAACGGACACTTGTAATCAAATTCCACCACCCAACATGCCAGACACCGGAAATGTGAAGATTGCCTCGAATTCTTACCCACAAATTTTTCGATTTTTACATTAAAAAACGTGACTTGACGAACTTATTTGATCATTTTCTCAGTACAGTATTGTTTCCTATTTCGTTTTGTTTGTATAGAGCTTGTTTCACTCATCTGATTTCTTCAATTTTGAGTTGCAATCTATGTATTGGTACTATGATCAAATTGGTCCAATTTGATAAAGAAATTAGTGCAAACGTATATCGTCATAGTCTCTGGGACTATTCTAAACGTTTCCACTGTTCATTTGAATGGCATTTGACACCTCATATGACTTTATCTATAGAAACCTGTATTAGGCGGACAGCCTGTATTAAGCGGACACTACAGCATTCCCCAAGGGTGTCCGCTTAATACAGGTTTCACTGTACCACTATTCGCATGGTAAAGATTAGTTCTTGTCGTGAATTGGAATAAAATAGCCTATAAATTGTAGCAGAAAGAAAGTGATTTTAAAAAGTGTTAATCGCTATTTTGACATTAACCACGTACATCATCTCGCATCTTTGTAACCTCAATTGTTTGGGAAGTCACAGTGCACGTACTTGCGGGTTCAGACCTTGACATCATGGTGTTCAGTCCCATTTAACAAGAAACTTCTGTCGGTTGTCCATATTACAATAGAGAGCTTAAGAAAATCTTTAACAACGGCGACCTCAACGAGAGCGACAAAAAAGCAAAGCAACAACTTCTGCACGTGCATCACGCTTTTTTGTACATTTCTTTGCCGTCATTGCACGACTACAACGTGAAAATACCTAATTTCACGTTTTTTTCAGGATGTGAACACAAGACAACGACTTTCTTTTTCTTTTCGAGAATTCTGATACAGTCCGTTAGAATTTAACGTCAAAAAAATTTGCTAGCATTTGGTGAATTAGACGAGATGGAATAAGCGCGATAAAGTTTGAAGCTGCGCGACTTTTTAAGTGACGCTTCCGTAGCAAGCCGTCGCCGTCGTTGTTGCTAAGCTCCCTAATAATGACGTTGTATAAATGGGTACAACTTTGCCCGTCTTCCCAGGTCTTCTCGGTCAATGCATTTCGGTTACGTATCCAGGTTTCCAAGACGAACTCGCTCGGTCTTCGTGACCCGAAGCGCATAGGCCTGATCATGTTAGCAACGAGGAACTCTATGATAGAACGGGAACAGCCCCCCTTTCCCAATCAGTTAAAGCCCGACAGACCAGATTCCTGGGCCTCTGTCTTCGGCGCCCCCAGGGGGACCTGTGGTAAACCAAGACATGGTGGACATCAAATTCTATTCCACGAGTATGCTGCAAAGCTGATCCCCCCTTTCCTCTCGAAATTCGTACTTTGGCAACGGACCACAAAGCTTGAAAGCGCATGGAGGTCGACTGTTGGCACCACTGGGAAGCCCCATGAGCGCCTCAGCGAAGCACAGAGGCCAGGAGGAATAACGAGGCCTTGGGGCTAGGCGAGGTCAACAACTAACATACTGCGACAGGTAACCCTACAATTGACTAGAATCCGTTCTAGGAGACGGGGAAAGAGTATAGCAATATTCCAAAAAAAAAAAATCGGACCAACTTGGCCTGATCGACATGTTGTGCGCCTCGCCGTCACCCTTTGAATATGTAATCAAGCACCAACTTTAAAAACATTCATACAGTGTCTCATAGTCGGATCTCCAGATCACTGATTTTTCTGCATTTTTTGCGAGGCGTGAAAGCCACAAGGAGAGGCCGTCAGTTTTAGAGGGAATGCATATGAAACAGAATCATTTCCAACGATTTGCGTTTTCTAAGTAACTAAGTAATAAATCAATAACTAAGGCTGAAAGAAACCCACGCATATTATTACAACTCCTTTCGGAGAATTTCTGCTTTTCAGAGTGTTTGCGTACTTAATACAGAAGACAAATTATGCAAAAATGTAAATGTAAGTGTATTTTCTAGCAAATTTTCCTAGTGCATTTTTTTGTTACTTTTTGTAATAATATTCTAATTTTTCTGGTTTATACGTTGTTTATGGTGTTGCTTGCGACACAAAGGTGAGTTAGAATTATTTGTTAAGAGATTAGGATGACAAATTCTTGGTCACATTTTTGAAAGCAGGATACGACATGGAACTTGACGACAGTTTTGTTTCAAAATATAGTTTTCTCTCTATACTATTAAATGGTACTTGCTTATTGATGCTTCAAGGCCGAGCTAGGAACTGATTTTTGCTGCTTATGACACAGATACCAAACTTCAACGAACTGTGTTTTCTTGGCGCGAAATGTCTAAATGTCTTAATTCAAAAGCAGGTATCATTTTTAAAGAAGTGCTGGGCTTTTATATAATGCTTGACACGTAGCATCTCAATATTTATCAGCAGCAAGTAATATTTCAGACTGCACGCTTTAAAATTACGTGTTCCCCGAAAACTCAACATTAAATTCGTCCGTTACAGATTTGTTTGCTTTTCACGCGAAAGCCTTTCTCTCCTGTTACTGTTTCAACGGCATTGAATTGAAAAGTTGTCGGACCACATTCGTCTTCTTTAAAAAAGGTACTCATTCCTTTATACCTTGCAGTTAGACTGATAAACAACTGATGATTTAGATATAGCTACTTACCTTAGCTTGAGGCGAAGCAGCTTGTACGAGAAGCAAAGGAAATAGTAAAATGTTAAACAGCATTGTTAATATGCAGGTCGTACAGGCAGTGAACTTTCGTGCTGCTGTTTGTGAATGAATTTAATGAGTATATGCAAATAATAATAATGATAATGTAAAAAAAAAACTCAGCCAACCATGAAAATCACGTCGAATGCAAAATTTGATTGACGTCTCAAGGGCGTGTGCGCTGTCTTTGTTTGTGCGTTGGAAACGTCCAGCGACAAATAGACTGTTCGTGAGATAGTCGAGATATAGCGCGCGTCTTACCGTTAATGGCGGCCATCGTGATTTTCAAACGTACCGAGGGGGCAGGCAACGGGGATTATAGCTCTAGTGGGAGGGGGGCGAGAAAAATATTTTTCTCGCTTCCTCCCAAACCGTCCCTGCTCCCTGAGTAGATGTGAGTAGTTTTGACACTAATGCAAGATGGCAGCCCGTAAAGCAAAGCGCTCGATCTCCACGATCTTAAGGAAAAAAAGAGGACTGTGAACAGTCTAGCGACAAATGACAGGTGTAAAAAAACAAGGCCGGCTATGATTTCCTAAGCGAAATCTAGAACTCTGTTCGACAGTCACCGGCAAAAAGAAACCGTACAAAGGTTTCGGTCCATGGCTCAGTTTACAGTTGACAGAAAGTACCTAAAACTTTATTATAACTCGTCGGGTTGAAACTGTGTTATAAAAAGCCGTGAAGTGTACTGTCTACTACCCCAAAAGAGCGTGAAAATACAAAAATAATACGTAAGGGATTAAATATATAGATACATTTTAAATGATAAATTAAACTTAAAACCTATTATGTACCTCGCCTAATCATCCTCTCGTAGCTTTGCAGCTCATTTCCGCGCTCGACAAACAAAACTGACAGCTACGCACTCCTGGTACGTAGGCTATGTTTGTGTTTTTGTATATACTGTCAATGCATTGATGTCGACAGGGAAGAATGAAAGATAGATTCTTGATAGATTTCTGTCTTTACAGATAAGTTCGATTTGTTAGCTTAGATTTTCAGGTCCTGATCCAAAGTATTCGTGTTAAAGAAATATTTGAGCCGTTCTAAAATAAAAAGCGCTTTAAAATGTCTTAGACACACCCATTAACGCCAACTTGTCTCTTAAACATGGTAGAAGCTCCTCTTTGTAGCAAGAAAGTTCTTATCAGTGCTTCTTTGAAAATACAATGTGTCATATCAATCTTTTTTAGACTGGAAGCGGACAACCAGTTGTACGTGTAATATAAGGTGAGATGTGATAACTCGGTTCTTAGCTTCAGTAAGCAGAAATTAAACTGCATGACTTCCAATTATTAAAAGGAGAGGCCTAGCACAAGAGAGAATGACTCGTACCACCTGACCAAGTTTCCCCATTACTTGTTGTTTGCTGTTCATTATTTCTACACCTAAATTAGTATTCAAGACATTTTTCATCCATAAGAATTGTTTTGAGCTGTTTTTTCAATCTCAGTACTCGTTTTCTATATTGAACTTGAATCTGACGTATGCTGTTTGCCGTATACGTAAAGCTAGAAACTCATAAGTAGTTGAACAACCCGTTATGAGTTTCTGGTGAAGCGAAAAATCTCTATTAACAATCATGTCATAAAAAAAGACACATCACGTGACAACAATCACTCACACGTTCTATCTCTCGTTGCAGTCTGACATATTGCCGAATCAACCAATCAACGAGAAGACGCCACTGCACATGTTTCAATTCCCAACAGATACAATTGAGAAAGCCTCCGGTCTAATAGTCTTCGACAAGGTTTCTCGTCAACGATTCCTGTAAGCAGTTGACGTAAATGTTTGTCCAGACGCCATTATCACTTATTCAACTCAGGACTGGATGTCACCGTATCAGAACACTTTGACCAGCCGGGGTCATTTCAGACAAACCCTTGCCTTAGTATTCCAGCAACCACTAAGAATCATTGATGGACTTAATCAGTTCGACACCTTTCAGGCTTTGTTGAAGGCCTGGCTACCTTACTTTATGCCTGGCTTCCCAGGCCTGTAAGTTTGAGAGTACAACAGTAGCTTCTTGATCCTCCACAGATAAACAGGGAAGCGTTTTCTTTTGTCATGAACCGAACTGAAAAGACTGCTAACATTTAGCTCTTTTTGCTTCGTATGAGAGCAGTCTTATTTCAAAGACGTCGTTGTTATTTAAAAGAAGGAAATAATATGTTAGCCCCTATTTTGTTTTTTTATTTGCGCAAAATTCACTCAGCATCTTTGAGCATAATGCTGGGGCACGAACATAATTTCCAGCATAATGCTTTGATTTTAGGAGTGACGCCCAAAACCATAATGCTAAAATTTTCGAGCATAGTTTATCTAACCCTACCTCGTCCTCGAATCTGAAGCTCTCTATTGAAGTCACGCTTCTTAATACAGTTCAACTCTATAACTACTAGGTATAGAACAAGTTCTAGCAATAGTATATTAGTACTTATACATAGACAATTTTCAAACTACAATTATATTTTTTTCACAACATTTTCCTTATTTGTTCCTTTAAGTTTCCCTTCCATGAATATCTTGTCACCTGACCCTGTTGTGTATTTCGCCCCGGCCCCCACGGCTTTTCTTATAGTACCTCCCTAAAAGTTCCCTGCAATTTAGATATGTGCCATCATAAGTCGGGTAAAAGTTGGTTTTCACTAGCGACGGAGTCAAGTCGGAGTCGTTATCAGAACGTAAAACTTATACGATCTAGTGAAACAGCGTTTGGATTCCGCTTACGACTCCACGGTTTACGATTCAGTTCAGTTAGTTTATTTATTCGCCAGAAAAAAAATTATAGAGAGGCAGCTGCCTTTATAGCAGACACTCTAGGGATCTGGAGTTAGTGTCCTCATAAACGAGAGTGCCTAATAACGGGATCAGAGTTTATTCCAGTCAAACATCTGTAATTTATGTTTGCCTGGGATTTAGCTGCTGTCCGTATCATCGGGGTGTCCGTGATATTAACGGGTGTCCACAAGGCGAGAGTTGACTATATTACAAAAATGTTATTTAAAGATTAAAGAGACGTAAATTGTAAGAATAGGGAGTTTAAGCAAATCGCTACGGCGACCTCTACTACGGCGGCCGGAAGTAAAAAAGCCCCGAAGTGACGCAGTGCGCATGCTTGAAAATGACCTTTCGCCGTAGCGCCGAATCCTACGACGTGAAGAGCTGTCTTCTGGCGTAGTCGCCACTACGTGAGTATAAAAGTCGACTCTTCTCCTATTTTTTACGATCACTGCTTTTAAAAGCTATCATAGATTGTTTTTCACTTTATGAAGAAAGTATTCGAGGCTTCTGGTTTTCCAGTGAATACATTTTCCTTTCGTTTTCTCAGTTTCAGATTTCGATCCTCAAGCGAGTGTGCCATGAGTTCTGCCGCGCCATGGCCGCAGAAAATCCGCCAGTACAAACAAAGGCTAGACGAAAACCGTAAGTACGACTGTTAGCAATAAAGCTAAATGTCGCTGAAGGTTGTTTAAACTAGAATAGAATAGAACCTAAAACGCTGAATTTGTTGATTTGTTGTTAAATGCGGTACACAAAAAGAAACATCACCAGCAGCTTACTCCGATCTTCATCTGTAGTTTTCTGTTTTGTGTACGAATCGCCCTCTGATGATGTTTACTATCAATATTCTTCTTGGCAAACGAAATTTTTAAATTCGCCCTTTTCTTATTTGAGCACCACTGAATTCTGTTGCTGATAAATCATAGCGAAAGCAAGTGAGCAAGAACCGGGCTTGAAATTTGGCGTACTCTCCCCAGGACACCGCATCCACGACCGCCGTAGTAGAGGTCGCCGTAGCGATTTGCTTAAACTCCCTAATAATAAATGAAATGATATGTGTGGAGAGAAGAACACAGAAAAAAATCTGAGCTCCAGATGGGAATTGAACCCACGACCTTCCGTATACACTAGTCGGATGCTCTAACCACTGAGCTACTGAGAACTCAGTGGTAAGCAAGTTAATTGTGTAAATTGTAAGTAAAAGAATGAAAAGTATTTTTCTGGCGAGGAAGCTCAAATTGAAACCTTGAGGCTTTTTAGATATCCCTCCCTAACCTGCCCCTGAGAAAATGGAAACGTTCCTATTCTTCTGACACTGATTCAGTCGAGTTTATGATTCCGCTTTCGACTCAGAGTTTTGACTTTCACTATCATAAGCGCTTTTACGACTCCGACTCTGACTTTGTCACTAGTGAAAACCAGCCTAAGGTTCTTAAGTTGCTCAAATCAGAGCTTGAATGCCACGGGGGATACACTGGCAGGTCGAAGGATCAATACCCTGGTTATTCCTTTGACAATAGTCTTTAACAGATTGCGAGCAGCTGCATCCGCATTTCGTGTAGTCCCATGTCATGCCATACCCAGTGCAGCTAGAAGGTGTCTGAGTACATTCGCAGTCGCAGGTAGCTGCGTTCCTTCGCTGATTTGACGCGCACGCAGTTAAGTTCGAACTGCATGCACAGGAGCACGAGCCGACCTTCCACTCATGTTTGTCGGGGTCGCAGTCGCTTGAGCTCTTGATACAGTCACAAGAGCAGTGTGTGTGATTGTACATGATGACGTTCGTCTGGGAGAAAGAAGTACCTTGAATCTTTACCACTTTGACGGAAATTTGGGTCTTTGCACTGACAGTACAATGATGATCATTCTGTGCGGTGGGGCATCCCCCACTGCATCGGTGCAGGGTGATGAAGGAAGGATGGTTTAAGTATGGTGGATCCTTTGGAACTTTGATTGCAGCTGGCCTCGGGCGACAAGGAGTTTCCCCTAGCGTTTGGGGGGTCGTATCTGTTAATCAATCAAATTGGTCATTAACAGTTAGTCGAATATAAACTTACAGTAGCGATGAATCTGTCATCAGATCAAGGGTGGAGCAGTGGTGAGAGCACTTGCCTCCCACCAATGTGGCCCGGGTTCAACGCAACCGTTTTTGTCTCGTCACTCAACGCTCTTTCCCAGAGTCTGCAAGCAAGCTCTCCATGCATGGGGAGCGAAGCTAGCCGTGAGTCTCTTTTCGCGTGCTGCTCTCGCGTGACTTCTGGCGACTTTCCCAAATGGAAAGCTTGCTCGCAGGCTAACTCCAACAGGAGTGCTATATCCGGATACGTTTAGCCTCCGAACTTACCAATCCACGGGCGCAGTCACGAGTGGTGTCCCCTTCCATATGCACCATACAACCGTACAAACGTCTGTAAAATTTTGCGACTTTGTGGAACAATATCTTTGCTACTTGTTTACGTATTACCTTTTTATTTGCTTTGACGATACGGCGGCCATATTGAATTAATCTGATTTAAGGAGTATTATAGGATGCCCATGGGGCATGAGCACATTTCGTTTGTATTTTCGAGCGCTTTTCGGGACATTTTTTCGTAAAGTTTTCTTACAATAAGATTGTAATGGGAAAAAAGATCCTTGTGCCTTGTTTTGATCTAATAATGATCGCCTTTTTCCCGAGAAATATAAAGTGAATGACCATATTTCTAATAATAAACTAGAAAAAGGCGATCATTATTACATCAAAACACGGCACAAGGATCTTTTTTCCCATTACAATCTTATTCTAAGAAAATTTTAAGAAAAGATGTCCCGAAAAGCGCTCGAAAATAGAAACGAAATGTACTCATGTCCCCTGGGCATCCTATAATACTCCTTAAATCAAATTAATTCAATATGGCCGCCGTATCGGTAAAAAGGTCTATTCAAGGCGCTCTTTCCAGCAGTATAAATGGATATTCGCTAACTGCTCTTTATCAAAACGTAAAAGGGTGTATTGATGCAGTTCTTACCTACTGATATATTAACACCTCCTGAATGCTCTGGAACATCACTTAACACCGGCTTTAAAGGAACTGACTCGTCTTGTTGTTGGATAGATATAGCAGCCTCTGGGTCAAACTTTGCATCTTCAAACGGAAATCCTATTTTTTCAAGAAACGTTCTAAGTCCTCGTGGATAGGCCTGTCAAAAGTGAAATTAAGATGTGAGGGTTCTGTTACTTTGAAGCGTTCCAGTGGGTAAAATTGTATGCCCTGCTAAAGACTCAGGAAATGGGAAGTCATTCCCTGTTCAGCGGCATATACCTATCCGGGCCCAGCCTGTGCCAGGATCGAGGACGTCGCAAAAATAAAACAAGCGACGCGAAAATAAGACGTGCGTCAACAGCCCTAGCACGTTTTTCGCATCTCTTTTTACTACACGACTACACTACTAACTTGGAGTCTGGAACAGGCTATTCCTGGCCAGATAAGGGAGTGCCTACAATCGGCGATAAAATGAGTTGAGACACTTCGCCCTAAACTGGGTTTTTTACGTTTTACTGACTTCAAAAGAAGGCAATATAGCTTTTCCTCCCCCATCCCCTCCATGCAGTGTTGTGCCGATGTTCGAGCTACCTACAGAAAACAACGAACACCCCAACTTTGAATGGAGGGGGCAAGGGAGGGGTGCGGATTCTTTTGTTCTCTGAAGTTACCCTATCTGAGTACAATGTCTCATCTATTTTGTCGCCGATTGCAGCCTCCTCCCGGATCGTTATGTTTGTGCAGACCACAGGCTCGTTACATTATAAAGATGGCTAATAAGGCTTAGGTATTTTTTTGGATTGGGTCATTTAAGATACTTAAAAAAACATGGAGGTTGTTCTCTGTCTATCCTTCTTTACTAAAATCCAGCTAGTGGTCTATTATCAATGCTACGTTCTGATTGGTTTAGCTACTTCTGGGCTATAGCAGGAGCTATATATATTATAATCCACTAGTAGTGAAAAGCGCGGGCTTTTTAGCGGCAAAAAAGGATTAAAGTCTAGCTTTAACTAGCTAATTTTTTTTTTTATTCTCGATATTTTTTACTAACTAGTTGGATTTTACTAGATGCGATTGGGGTCACTTAGTCCGAGCGTTGTTCGTCTCGGATCGTCGAGTACCTCAATGAAATGCAATGACCGAGAAAGCCTTGGAAGACGTTGTTCAGGGAAAAGGCCTCATCGATCTCCCTAGAACCTTTTTTTTTTTGTTTAAACCGTTTTGAGCGCTGGGTTAGCAAACATTAATTCGGGGGAAGGATTATGTCACTTATAATTACTAATTAAAGAGTAAAGTGCTTCCATTTTTCAAAGTGTCACGACGTTTTTTTTGTTACCTAGCGAAAGATAAAATTCATGAACATGCATATTTCATGTTCTACAAACTCGCCTTAATTTGCTAGAGAAAGTAGTCAAGAACTGACAGGAAAATACGGAGTGAGTGCACTGAGTGAAACCCTAATTTTTTTGTTACTAAGAACTAAATAATTAAAAGAATGTAGACAATATAGCTGGCTATTTTCTCCAAAACCGGATGCAAGACCATTGTGTTGGATGAAGTACAACATATAGGCTTTCCTACAGATTACCTCTTGAAATTAAAATTACGTACAAAGTCAGTAGGACGAAGAATTTACGTTCGTAAAAAAAAACAATATTTTGCCAAGCTGGATGATGACTTATAGTTCTTTTAAAATGTTTGGTGATCTGTTTCCCATTTAAAAATAGTCCAAGCTCCCTTTAAGCCGCGAGACTCACTCAATACAAATGTTTAAGCAACTTGACAAATGGAAATCCTCATGTTTAAATCTTATTTTATCCTCTTTTTAAATCTTGTCGGGTGCGGGCGCTTTTAAATGATTCCGAAATGTTTATTCAGCTTTCACCAGAAAGAAAGCTTGAAGGCAAACGAAGTATAACTTAGACGGCGATTTAGGAGAATCAGTGGGCCGCTCTATGTCTGAGCTGTTTATGAGTGGATTATAAGTAGTTAAGTGTTTCTTTCTGATCTGTCTCCCAAATACTGTTCACACGAATCCGGGGTAAAATGTCCAGTTAGCATAATGCGCTTTCGATGAACATTGGCTTAACTGCGTTTTAATAACTTATTACTGACCCTCGGTGACTACAAGTGATAGGGGTGAACTCATTTAACAAAGGAAGTAATATATAGTGCTCGGGGTGATATTTACAGCGTCATCGCCAAAGAAAAAACTGTACTTACTTTTGAATCTGTAAACGAACTTGAAACTTGGACCGCAAAGATTATTATAATAGCTAAAGAAACCATTTTCCCCCCGGCACTGAATACGTGTTGGGCATTAACTAAATGATGTTAGCTTGATTTAAAACTAGCAGCCTTTTAAGCTCTTGCGCAAAACTGCTGAATGCATCTTATTGGCTGAAATAATCGTTACGTCAGTTAAACACTTGACGCTTTCCGAACACCTCCTTCATATCATTAATCAATATAATTTATCGCATGGTAAATATTAGTTCTTGTCGTGAATTGGAATAAAATAGCTTATAAATTGTATTCCTGACATTTACATTAGGAAAATTAAAATCACAACAGACCACTTTAAATCGTTTTTGTGAATATTAAAATCACAACAGACCACTTTAAATCGTTTTTGTGAAAAAGTGCTTTTTATTTGCACGTAAGCTGCATCAAGTCCGGCCTTGGTTATATCGTTAGGTTGCTTTATTGATGTTTGAAAAGTAGAGTTGGCATCTTGTGATAAAGTTTATGGTTTTCGATTCGAATCCCAGAAAGTCTTACGGTTGTTTGGGAAGTAGAAGCACTTAAAATGATCTGTGTCATACATTTTTTAGTCGAATACTTGAAAAGGACCTTTATATCAATGGCAGATAGAAATTCAGTGATAGTAAAACTTTATTAAAACGTCCATAACAAATAGGAAAAGGAATGAAGATTTAAATTTCAATAGGGTGCATAATTACCAACCAACTGTACTAACACTTATAGACTGTTCACAGTCCCCTATTTTTTCGTGAGATCGTTTAGATATACTGCGTCTTACCGTCACCGGTATCTTGATTTTCAAATGTACCGAGGGGGCGGGCATCGGAGATTATAGCTCTGGGCCGCCCCCTAAGTAGTTTTGACACTCATGCAAGATGGCATCCCGTAACACAAAGGGCTCGATCTCGATGATGTTACGGAAAAATGGAGGACTGTGAACAGTCTATCTCACTATGAAACTACTAAACTTTCAAAAAAATCCTAAAAAACTAGAATACTAAAGTAATAGATAATTTCAATATCAGAATTCACTCGAATTTACTCATGGATAAAAACTTTAAGAAAATATTAAGTTGTTTTAAAAAGTCAATTTTAAAACTGTCAGGCGTAAATTTACACATGACTGAATCAAAGAAATTTCTTTTGAACTTCTTTACATTGGAAGAACGGACTAAAGCATTTTCACTGACATTGTTCCACAGTTTACTGTACTGTAAACGAACATCTGCTTCATGCTATTGTTACGTGGAATAGAAAGCCGATAAGGGAACCGAGACCTTGTATCATGAGACTTATGGTATTTCAAAGACTGAACAGTTTCTCAGAGAGGTAATCCGGTACACGACCATCCAGGATTTTCTTGAGCAGAAGTTAAAAACACTTATGTATGCCATGTATGTCTATGATAGGGCTGTCAGTGACATTGTCTTGTGTGGAAGTCGACAAGTTTCTTGCGTAGCCGGACCAGAATCAGAAGAACACAATACTTTCTGAATATGGTAAAAAAGATGCCGCTTTTATGATTTTAAGCTCACAGTTATATAAAAGTACCTCTCCGATAATAACACGATTTTTTGTATACGAATAGCACTTTTAGCATATAAATTCCAACTTCGTTTTATTCTTAAGTTTTTGATATGTTCGTCACTTTAATTTCAGTTTGCGTTTTGTTGAAACTTTTGTCTCTCGAGGAGATGGCCTTTATTTGGAGATTTTTCATTATTTTCCTACGTCTTCGTTGAATTTGATCATTTTTCGACAAAGAAGTGAACCAAGCTGAAAAAAAGCTAGTATACGGAGCGCCAGCGAGACTCGAAAACAAAATGCAAGTGATTTATTGAAGCCAAAAAGTTGAAAAAGATATGCATATCCGATGTTTGCCGCTAGAAACTTGTGCGTCACTAAGTACGCACGTGCAAATACGTTTACGTTTTGTGAGCCTCTTTTTTCAACTTTTTGTTGTAACAAAACGCTTTTTTTTCCAGAGGCGTGTAATGAGCAATTTGCGTAGCTGTCTCTTTGCGTGTGTTTTTGTGTACTTAAGTCTGTGAAAAAGACAGAACCAAACTGCCTCGTGTTTACACAGTGGTTGTCAAGTGTAAGCTCTCATTACACGTTATTTGTTGCATAATACAAGTTGTTTAAGCAGATATCCCTTTTTGTAACATTTCAGAAAGCCGTACTATAGGTGAAAGAAAGATCAGAAAGTGGGAAGCCGACTTGCTTGTGCGTGTTTGCGTGCGTGTTTCTTTCTATTCTTTGACACGAGTTGGCGTTCGTAGCCTGCGAGGATGGGAAAAGCTTAAAGCCCTGCCTTGTTCATTCCTATTCAGGCAAGAAGCTCGCGGTTGACAGAGATCTTACATTAAGAGATTCAGTATACATCACATCCGACATCTCCCTAAGAATAGATTAAAAAAAAACAAAACAAAACAAAACAAAACACCCGCAAATTACTTTTTGATATTTTCAATTCAGAATATGACAATATATTGATCCACCCACGTAATTAAAGAAGGTAAAATTAGCCAAAAATGTCGAAAAATAGATTCTTGCTTATTAGTTTCTAAATTTACAATTTATTTGGTTTATTCTTTCCTCTTTACTGTGTTATCTAGTCGTCATCCATATTACGATTTTGATTTCATTTATTTGTAAACTGTAAACTTTCCTTAGTTAGCCTTAAGTCTTAATTTCATTTTTTGCACTCATTGTCCTGCCTCGAATAGCCTTGCAAACTGCGGGAAATGCTTCTGTAATATTATCGGGTTATGAATAAAGTTTGTTGTTGCTGTTGTTGTTGTTAGTAGACCAGTAAGAAACGCCGCTTTTGCTGCGGTTTACAGTCGATAGTCGCTGTTCAAAGGACTCTCGACATTGAAGATACGAGCACTTGATCTAGAGATGCGTTGGGGACGATCCACGAGCCATGAGAGGAGAGAAACGAGGGTGTCGTCCAAAGAGAGAAGAAAAACGAGAAAACAAAAACGAGATTGCCCTAACTTCAACAAAAAAATAGAAGAAAAAGATTGCTCACAGACTAGGTTTTATTTAGATGATACATTAATCAGTTAAAAGTGTAAAGTGCTTTTTTTATCAATTCCTGTCGGTGGCAGAAAGAAAGTGATTTTAAAAAGTGTTAATCGCTATTTTGACATTAACCACGTCTTTGTAATCTCAATTCTTTCAGGAAGTTACAGTGTCTATTGCGGATTCAGACCTTGACATCATGGTGTTCAGCCCCATTTAACAAGAAACTTCTGTCGCTTGTCCATATGACAATAGAACGGCGACATCAACGAGAAAGGCAAAAAAACAGTTGGTTAAGATTAGCAACACAACAACTCTGCACGTGCATCACGCTTTTTGTACATTTCTTTGCCGCCATTGCACGACTACGACGTGAAAATACCTGATTTCACGTTTTTTGGGGGGATATAAACACAAGACAACGACTTTCTTTTTCTTTTCCAGAATTTTGACTCAGTCCGTTAGAATTCAACGTCAAAAAAAAAAATACTAGCATTTGGCAAATTAGACGAGATGGAATAAGCGCGATAAAGTTTGAAGCAGCGCGACTTTTTAAGTGACGTTTCCGTAGCAAGCCGTCGCCGTCGTGGTTGCTAACCTCCTAATAATGAACCCACATTACATTTGCTCCACCCGGTTGTATAAATGGGTACAACTTTGCCCGTCTTCCCAGGCCTTCTCGGTCAATGCATTTACGTATCCAAGTTTCCAAGACGAACTTGCTCAGACCACGTGACCCGAAACGATTGACTAGAATACGTTCTTGAGGGGAAAGAGTAAAGCAATATTCTGAAAAAAACAATCTGACAAACTTGCCCTGATCGACAAATCGTGCGCCTCGCCGTCACCCTTTGAACTTATCTAATCAAGCACCAACTTTAAAAGCGGCTAAAAAAACTGATACAGTGTCTCATAGTCGGATTTCCATATCACTGATTTTTCCGCATTTTTTGTGAAGCGTGAAAGCCACAAGAAGGGGCCGTCAGTTTTAGAGGGAAAACAAGCAAAGTGAGATCAGAATCATTTCCAACGATTTGCGTTTTCTAAGTAACTAAGTAATAAATCAATAACTAAGGCTGAAAGAAACTCACGCATATTATTACAACTCCTTTCAGAGAATTTCTGCTTTTCAGAGTGTTTGCGTACTTAATACAGAAGACAAATTATGCAAAAATTTTAAAAAGTCGGAAAGAGTTGAATTTTTATGTAGGTATATTGACTAGCAAATTTTCCGAATACATTTGAATGCTACTTTTTTGTAATAATATTCTGATTTTTCTTGTTAATACGTTGTTTATGGTGTTGCATGCAAAGTTAAGTTTTACGTCTCCTGGAATTAGAATTATTTGTTAAGAGATTATGATGAGAAATTCTTCGTCACATTTTTGAAAGCAGGACCGGACACGACATGGAACTTGACGACAGTTTTTTTCAAAATATAGTTTTCTCTCTCACATTGCACAGCGCAACAGCGGGTTCACTGAACCGTGTAAACAACAAAAAAAGTAAAAATTTCAGTGAATCAAAAATTTTCTTAAATATTTTAAAACAATGAGTATTAAACGGCACTTGCTAATTAATGCTTCAAGGTCGAGCTACGAACTGATTTTTGCTGCATATGAGAAAGATACCAAACTTCAATGAACTGTGTTTTCTTGGCGCGAAATGTCTAAATGTCTTCAAAAGCAGTTATCATGCATTTTCAAATAAGTGCTGGGCTTTTATATAATGCTTGACACACAGCCCGGCTTATCGTCTCAATATTTATCAGCAGCAAGTAATATTTCAGACTGCAAGCTTTAAAATTACGTGTTCCTCGAAGACTCAACTTTGAATTCGTCCGTTACAGATTTATTTGCTTTCACGGCGCGAAAGCCTTTCTCTGCCGTTACTGTTTCAACGGCATTGAATTGAAAAGTTGACAAACCAGATCCTTCTTCTTTAAAAAAGTTACTCATTCCTTTATACCTTGCAGTTTCTAAGAATAAACAACTGATGATTTAGTTATAGCTACTTACCTTAGCTTCAAGCGAAGGAGCTTGTACGAGAAGAAGAGGAAATAGTAAAATGTTCAACAACATTGTCAATATGCAGGTCGTAATGGCAGTGAACTTTCGAGCTGCTGTTTGTGAATGAATTTGATGAGTATATGCAAATAATAATAATGCAAAAAATACTCAGCCAACCATGAAGATCACGTTAAGAAGTGCAAATTTGATTGACCTGATTACGTCTTGACCACGGGCGTGTGCGCTTTCTTGCTACTCATACACAAAGCCATCTTGGAGATCCAGGAATTTTGAAAAACAAAGAAACTCTCGATTTTCCGTTTTATTTCTTGATAGTCACTCGAAGTTCACTGAAGTGCTGTTTACCACCTAAAGAATTCAAAAACTTTCGCGCGCTGAGCGTGAGCCAAAGTAAGAGTCGCGCGACGAAGCGTTTGCCGACACTGCTGCATTGCGCCATACAATATCGTTTTTGAATAACCTTTCTCTAAAACAAAAGCTTGTTGAACCGAAAAAAAACTCTACGAACGGATTGTTTAGCACGTTTTCGTAGTGTTGTTCATCTCGATTTACTGGAATAATTTTTTATGTTGATTTAATAAATATCTTTGTTTTTGCACCTATTAATCAAAATCGTTACATCATTTGCGTGTTTCGCCAGCACGCGTAAAAACGAACTAGCGACACTCAAGTGTTACACATCCTCGCGCGCATTGTAGCGTAGGACCGCAACACGTACATATGCCCTTTCCATGGCAATCAATATTTTAAATTTCTTTTCATTCATAAAGTCGTGAGGCTGAGGCGTTTCCAGGTCACACATGGCAGGGTACTTGATAGGTTTTTAGACACGGGACAGATAATTTTAAATCAGTAATGGTATATTGCTTTTCCTTATAAGGTTTTTGAGAACCCACAGGACTTCCGAGGTGTAGCCAGTACGTAAATACAAGGAATGGGAGCTTTACCGAACGTATTTCCGAGTTAGCAAGGTTGCGCAACATGTTTTTTTCGATTTATGGCAAATGGGCAGAGATGCGTGAAGATTGTCCATGTATCCGAGAACGAAAATAAAGTAAAGTTCTCTCACACATTTTTCATGAACGTCAAGAGTGAACTCTCATCTTCACGCTGGAAACGTCCAGCGACAAATGAAAAGCGTAAAAAACAAGGCGCTGTGATTTCCTAACCGAAATCCAAAACACTGTTCTACAGTCACCAAAAAAAAAGCATAAAAAGGCTTCGGTCCATGGCTACAGTTGAATACCGTTCTTCAGTATGTACTGGGACTGTTTTACAGCCAAATACACAGCACAAGTAGCAGTTGTCACATTCAGAGTAGAGAAGCTCGATGAACCCAGCCTTTCACATTAGCGAGCTTTAGCAAGGACGTTTTTTAGCGACTCACGTCAACCGGAAATAGGCCTTTTTCCTAAATTTGTACTTCTATCAAAGGGTCTTTACTCTTATAGGGAAGAACTGCCCGAAAATTTGGCAAGACCACTGCGCAAAAATGCAAAACGTTCTCTTACGGTTGACATGCTTTTCTCAAAAACGTCTTTTATTAAGCTCTCTATTGCTGAATAATGCTTATCGGCCCATAGGTTGAAGGAAATTCAGTACAATCTTGTAGTAAAATTGCGCATTCGTGTTTGCTTTAACCCATTGAACTTAGCTTTACCCAGTTACCTATTCCGCTCCCACACGCTCATCTGCGCGGCTCGAAGATAAAATAGTCATAATTATTTGAGATTTTAACGCTAACGTAGGCCCAGCTTTGTGGTGGGCCTTAGGGTTGATTTCCACTGTCGCGCAATTTTTACGTGTGTATACATGCACAAAATTTACGTTCGCAAATAAAATAGAGGCAATGCATGAACGGTCGCTCGTAAGCGTAAAAGATAAACCTCGCTCAACTTCACGTTTAATCTCAACCCTTTATATATTGCCTCTATTTTATTTACGTGATTAAAATTTTCGTGCGTTGACGTGCGTAGCCAAAAACGCGTCAGGGGAAATCAACCTTTATTTTGGACCCCAGCGTTGGAAAAATCGGTTGAGTCATTCACCATGGCTGCGACCGTCACATCTTGTATATTTATTGTTTTCCCAAGTAATTATCTATTGTGGATTTAGAGAGAGAGAGAGAAAGGTCTAGGGTGGGTAGGAAACGGAAATAAATTAACAATTAGGCTCTTAATCCTGTTGAATGTAGTAATTTATTGCCACGAAACAATATATTTTCTAACCACTGTTTATGACCTTTAACATGTATTGCTATATACTATTTTTTATCAAATAAACCTTTGATGTAGGCTGGTTACGCACAAGTGCAGTTGTACTTCCGAAAGGAAGTGCCTGCATCACATACGGGCCGCGGGTTCGGACATTCACATTCACATTTTTTTTCGTTGAGAACTTTTCCCTTGCGCACGCAGCGATCTTTCACCTTTTTTACACATTCGCACTTGCAAGTCGAGTCGTTCCAAATATGGCTTGAAGTGGCATTGCAAGTATCATGGTTTCGGCACTGGCACTGGCACGCTGAGTCGTTCCAAACTTGGTCTAATCGGCAAGTTTCCTGGCTTCGACACTCGCACTGGCACGTGCGATCGTTCCAAGTCTGAGAGGGGGAGCAGTGGCTTCCATTTAACTTACACTTGCACTCGCAATTCGAAATATCATACTCTTGTATTTTAGCGTCGCAGTCCGACTGTCTTTCTGTGCAGTTACATTGACAAGCTGTATGGTCGAACATCTTGAGGGTGACTAATTTAGCATCTTGGACATCATACACTCTTACTTTAATCTCGTCCTGTTTTGTCACTGTGCAGTTTATTTTATCTGAGTTACAGAACCCCATGCACCGATGAAGTTTAATGTGGGACGGTATTGGTTTTTTCACCTGGAGCTTGTTAACCTCAACGACGGTAAGGAATGGATGGCAATGCACTCGTATTTGGTTTCCATCCTTAATACCTTGTTTCCCTGAAAAAGTAATACGTCATAAGGCCTCAAATAAGCACTGCATCCGAATAGGAACCTCTCCTTATCTTAAATTTGGCCCTGAGTATCTCTTGCTGACCCTCTCCCCCCATGTTGGTTGGTTTTTTCAAGAACGTAATTGCAAGGGGAAGCCCACACAAATTGCAATTTGTGTGGCATCCCTGTGGTATTTGCAGTTATGAGAATTTCGCATAGAAAGTCCGTTACAGTTCAATCATACGAAAAACCCGTGTAAATTTTGAATGTTACGCTGAGCAGTTCTTAACAGAAGGTCTCAATGGTCAACCGTCAGTTGTCAAACGTTCCAAAATTTAACCGTCAGCCGTGGAAAAGGGTAATTTTTTACCCTCAACCGTCAAAAATGCAGATTATATTAACCGTCAGCTCCCCAAACGTGGAAAAAACCAGTTCCCATGTTTTTTAAGAACACACTCTCTAGACATAAGAAGACCTTAAACCTTGCTAGAAAGGGCCAAGACAACCTCCAAAACACATAGTTAATATCAATTTATACAGCAGTTAAATTTTTACCTAAGCTCTTTGAACTCCAAAAATTGAACCGTCAAAGCTGACACCCCATTGAGACACAAAGGGTACTCCCTTACATAGTAAGCCATAAAGGCATGTGCCTCCCCAAAGGGTAGTGGTTTTGCACCGATTGGTCTTAAAACGGGCAGTGGCGGATCCAGGGTAGGGGCCCGGGGGCCCGGCCCCCTTACCCCCCCTTATTTCTGCACCAAAATGAGGCCCGAAGGGCCAAAAAAAAACGTATTTTTGAGACCGCCCCCCCCGCCCCGCTTATCTCAGGGTCTGGATGACCGGGCCCCTCCTTATCTGGAGGTATGAAAGGGTATAGTCTTAGCCCATTCTGGTCCTGAATCGGGTATGGTTTTTGAAGAAACTACAGGGTTAATCAACAGAAATGGCCAAGGGGAAAGCGAAACTGCTTATTTTACCCAGAAACTCGAATTTTTCCCTTCTGTGTATGGTCCAAACGCAGGAAAATGCATTTCAGCATCAGGAACATAACCAGCGTAGTGATCCTGACTTTTAAATAACACTTTGGGTGGTTTTACTTCTTTTTGGCTAGGTAGTGTGAAAGAAAAAACGGCTCGACTGGCTCTTTTTTAAAAATTCCGGCAAAATTTTCAGGAGCTAATTAGGTGCACGTGAAACACAACGATCGCGCGAGAATTTTTTACCAGTGATAAAATTACTTACTTGTCGTATTTATGCCAAAAGGATGGGAGGCAACTTTACAGACAATGTTTTCACTTGACGTGGACGGGCTTGACGTCATGTAGTTGCCACTGGAGCTCGACGAACCAGTCGAATCACGTGACCAATGCTGCATTCAAGCACATGTTTTTAATTAGAGAAACCATTTGTAACAAGCTTAAGGTGGCTTGAACCTACCGCTCCCCTAAGCCAACATTTTGCCATAAATGAGAAGTAAGTGTTGATGTTGGCTTAGGGGAGGGGTGGGTGGGCAGTTTCCCACCAACGTATAATGATCCTTGTTCTGAGGGTCGATACCTCTCAAGTTGGAGCATTAACTTCGATGCTATTAACAAGAATTTGGGAAAAAAACCACCACTGCTGTATTAGATAAAGATGAAAATTTTCACTGTTTCCCCCTGAAATGACGTTTGATAAACCAGGATAGAAATTTTTTATGACGTATCACTACCCCTTGATTTGAATAGTGCTTGTTCTTGGTCGAAACTTTGCCTTAGCCAATCAGAAGCACTACCAGATCTGCCATGACACGTCATCAGTGTGGAATTTCTAAACTCGTTCCTCAGACAATCCTCCGACGTCTTTTCGCTACCTCGCTCCCAGGCTTCTATCTTCTTTCTGGGAGCGAGGTTGGTCTTCGCGGGAAAACTGTTAGTGGCGTCGCGAAACGTTGACTGTTTTCTCAAGCTAAGTATTTTCCTGCATATTTTGCAGGCGTCTGGTTACACTTCTTAATATTTTAATTTTATGTAGAACGTGGCCGTTGGTCAAAACATGGCAACAGTTTGCAGGTGTGAGACCTACTGAATAAGGCCCAATAATAGAAAGGAACGTTACGCATAACGTTGACAGCAAAACTTAGCACTTTTTCATTTATTCTTTCAATGGCAGCCTGAAATAAAACAGATTTCCCGAAGCATACTATCCTATAAATTGTTCACGTTGAAACGGCAAACAGGAAATCTCTGCCGTTTTCAGTATTCACCGTGAACGTTGTGCTTAATATAATTATCTTTGAAATGTCTTACATTAGTGAAATCCGGGTTCCTTCCTTGCTTTGGTTCCTGCTCGACTCCACGCAAAAAGTTTGGCCCATCGATATCATCAAGCCAAGTATCCTGAAATTAAAGACGTTATCTAAAGGAACTAAGAAACAGTCAGGAGCCTAGCACTGGCCTTGAGCCCGCTCTTGCCCGCTCCGTCTTTCTTATAAAACCTGGCTCATTTTGCGCGCCAAACTCGCATCTAGTCAGAGCGAAGTAGGATTTCACACAAATTTACAGCAATGGGTGATGGCTTAACCCCTCTCCCCCTCCCCCCCCAGGTCTGGGCAGTTCTTTTGATTGGTCGTACCTTCAGCCAATCAAAAACACTAGCCAGACCTGGTTAGTGACTCGTCATCAGTATGGAATGAGTCCGTTCCTCACCCCTCAGGCGTCCTCTTGTGGCGGAAACCAGAATTGGCGTCGCAAAATGTCGGCTGTTAATGTTCAGGCGCAGCGTAAGGAGCGATTCCTTTGGTTACCCTATGTGACGTTCATTCGTAGCAGGTGGAGCTCGAGGCGNTAAAGACGTTATCTAAAGGAACTAAGAAACAGTCAGGAGCCTAGCACTGGCCTTGAGCCCGCTCTTGCCCGCTCCGTCTTTCTTATAAAACCTGGCTCATTTTGCGCGCCAAACTCGCATCTAGTCAGAGCGAAGTAGGATTTCACACAAATTTACAGCAATGGGTGATGGCTTAACCCCTCTCCCCCTCCCCCCCCAGGTCTGGGCAGTTCTTTTGATTGGTCGTACCTTCAGCCAATCAAAAACACTAGCCAGACCTGGTTAGTGACTCGTCATCAGTATGGAATGAGTCCGTTCCTCACCCCTCAGGCGTCCTCTTGTGGCGGAAACCAGAATTGGCGTCGCAAAATGTCGGCTGTTAATGTTCAGGCGCAGCGTAAGGAGCGATTCCTTTGGTTACCCTATGTGACGTTCATTCGTAGCAGGTGGAGCTCGAGGCGGGTCCCGAGCAAGGCGCGTATAGCTCTCCTTCCACACTTAGACTAGGACAGGGACAAACAAGCGCGCTTTTTTTTTGAAGACGTAATTGCCTGCGAAAACATCCGTTCCTGTTTGCTGTTCGCCGCTGGGGACGTTGCGCGAGGAGGAACGTCTGCGACTCAGCGACTGAAATTTCATACTGATGACGTAAAATCTGTCCGGAATTCTGTCAGAAGCGCTGATTGGTCGTTGGAGTAATTACATTGTTTAACTATTGTTTACGAAAGACAAAAGGCCTCAAAGGCCAAATGCGAACGCGAAGAATGTCTAATAAAACTGTCAATATTTGTGGAATATAGCCTTCTCTAGAAGAAGCATTTGAGCCGGTTGCTGGGGCTCGTTGGTAGATGAACACAACACTTTACCAAAATCAACCAGAAGACACGTAGACTACTAGTAGTCCCCCATTTTTCCTCAGGGATAGTAGAGCAAGGGAAACGCGAGCAAGAGTGAAAATCACCCCACGCGAGAAAAGGCGACACGCGGCTGGGAGGGAGAAAAATGAGCTCCCCGCCGCGTGTCGCCTTTTCTCGCGTGGGGTGGTTTTCACGCGCGCTCGCGTTTTGCTCGCTCTATTATCATTGAGGAAAAATGGGGGACTACTCGTAGTCTATAAGACACGTAAAATTGGACAGATTTATATTTGGAACCTCATGACTACCGAATTTATCATGTAAACATTGATTTGCGTCATTAGTACGGAATTTCTGTCGCAGAGTCGCACACGTTCCTCCGCGCGAAACGTCCCCAGCGATAAAGAGCGAAGAGAAACGGATGTTTTCGCAGGCTAAAGACAATAGATTCTGCATGAGCCGGGCATGACACGGAACCAAATGTAAAGAACTAAGATTCATAACATTTTTAACTTCTGATCTTGTCCTCTTTCAGAGAGCTCGACAGACGGACAGAAAGAGCTCTGGGAAACTTCTCGTCGAGTGCAACAAAGGGTGATGCAAAGCAACTCCCAAGGTCGAGTTCATCAGTCGAGATCAAGAATGGAATTCAAAGCGGTCAAACGTGAAGCGCATGCGTAGATCCTGCTGAAATTTGCAGAATGNAATAGATTCTGCATGAGCCGGGCATGACACGGAACCAAATGTAAAGAACTAAGATTCATAACATTTTTAACTTCTGATCTTGTCCTCTTTCAGAGAGCTCGACAGACGGACAGAAAGAGCTCTGGGAAACTTCTCGTCGAGTGCAACAAAGGGTGATGCAAAGCAACTCCCAAGGTCGAGTTCATCAGTCGAGATCAAGAATGGAATTCAAAGGGGTCAAACGTGAAGCGCATGCGTAGATCCTGCTGAAATTTGCAGAATGCGGAAATGATTATTTTAATTTTACCAGTCTGTTTAAAATAATATTTTTAACATTGTTGCGGGCATAGATACAAGGGCATTGTCAAGGTTTGTTTCTATATAACATTTACGTTTTCAGTAATCAACAACAGAATCCATGCACGTAAAATTACACAAAAATGCAGGGATTCAATTTAAAATCTTTCGATTTGAGCGAACCAAAGATGTATGTTACTACTATACCTGACTTTCAGAAAACAAAACTACCCTGTGTATAACTTAGCTGAACGTAGCAAAACAACTCCGACGACTTATAGTTGAAATAAGGAGTAATAAGAGTAAAATGATATTCGTACAGCAGAATAACACGCGTATCAAGAATAGTGTTGTTAATAAGATAAATTAACGAAAAGTACGAACAATAAAAGATTAACGTGATTTAGATTAACATTTTATTTACGTGACGTTCTGTTATGAAAAAAAATTTTAATCACCTTCCAGATTTTAACATTTAGATGGTGAAATAGAAATTGTAAGTCTGTTAGTCATAACTGACAAAACATATAATTATCTAATTTAGCTTCCATCAGTTTAAAAATCTTTCATTTAAACCAAATTTTTACGAGGCCAAAATTGAGCGACCTAATTTATTCATTTGTCAGTTGTCAACCCTAACCGAACCCTGAATGATGAATAAAAATAAGTCTAGACCTTTCGCGGGTATATCTGAAACCGAAACTTCCGAGTCAATATAAAATGGCCCTTAGCTGCCTTCCGGAAGATCAGTAAAGGACTTCCTATCGATTCGTACAATTTATGAAAAAGACAAGCTCGGCTGAAAATGATAAGATCATTTTGCAGTTTTTAAGCAAATTAAAACCTATTATTTACCTAATCGTTTGGTCAGTGACTTGGACGGGACTATCATATATGTCGCATCTCGGCCAAAAAAGTAGGCTTTGAAAACTGTGTTAAATCCCTACTGTTAAAACTGAGTATTATGTGCAGCATACCATCGTTTTAGATATTTTCCCGGCGTGAGAATACCGTTAGTTATAATTTCTTACAGAATGTTCATATTTCAATGATAAAGTTGGCAGTGTAAGTAGATCTGTGAAAACCTGAAATTTGCTTTTAAAAATGTGTCGACTTTTTACTATGCCCCGCAAATAAAGTTGTTTAATCAAATTCCAGCTGATGTTGAGGACTTTATGTAAAAGAAAGAAAAAGGAAGAGAAAAAAATAGAGTGTTTACTCCTGAGCTTTTAATAATTATTTAAAATTATTTGTATTCGCGTGTATTCACCGTATCGTTTCCGCATAGAAAATATTTTGTTCATAGCCGATAAATGTCCCTGAAGTTACATACCAATTATTTGTCGTTGATCCGACCTATTTGGGTCTGTTTGTTTGTTCTTTTCTTGCAAAATTTCTTTTTTTTGTTTTAACGCCTCGATCTTTTCGGTGAGCAACATCAACGATTCGAAAAGAATTTCAGGCAGAAGCTGTTCACGTGGCATGTCCAAAAATATTGGAGTAACCGGCCTATAAATCAAGGAACTGAAATTGAAGTTGTTCTTTGAAGAGCGTGGCATTTATCGATAAATACTAATGATTGTACAATTATATAATAGCTAGTTCTTTACTAAGGTGTCTTTAAATAAAGGAAATTAATTAGAATTTCGAATTCAAATTCAACTACATGAATAAAATTTGAAAACCGTGGGACCGGACGTAAGGTAAAAAACTAGGACATCCCAGCAGTCGAGGTTTATTAATAAAATTAAAATAAATAAGAATAAATGCTTACTTCTATATTTGTTGAACGTGTGTATGTCCCAAAGACCGCAATAAGAAGAAGTGTGGCCAACATCTTTAATTTAGGGCACAGTTTCTGTTGAATATGTACAAGGCTCAACGGAACGAACTCGGTGGAGAAGGATAAGAAAATGTAGCCTTGGAACTGGATTCCTCAGTATTTAAAACCCAAGAAGAACAGTAGGTGATGCGATTGGTTTACTATTTTCTGACGTCAAACACAATTCTTATGTCATTGGTCAGTAGCTCATTGACGTCATAATCCAAAGCTCTATTGAAAGGATTCATTCAAACTACCGTTTTAAAAGTAAGTTAACAAAACAAATGAATATTAGAAGAAAAAAAAAGACCGTGGCAAATTAGGTTATTTCTAGTGTAGAAAATAAATATGTCGTGAAATCATAAATGAATGAGTCTACCTGAAATGTTTGTAAGTATATTCCTTGCCATTGTTAGTTAATACTTGTAATACGTCAAACCTCAATTAAGGAAATACATTTTATCCTCAAGTTGTTTGTTTTATTTGATGCGAGCACTTTTATGCTTTTGTTTGTAAACATGGCGGCTGTACAAAGGATTTGGGGAACAAATGCAAAACACAATTTAGAAAGGAGTTACAGTAAATGATGATTGTTTACCTAAATTGAAAAATAAACTAAGAGCCACAAAGCCTGCATATTGTGTGAAACAAATCTTAAGCATACTGCTAACAATAAAAATTGAGTTTTAATCATCCAATTTTTACCACAAACTCCCGTGTTTATTTTAAAACCGTACATTTCACGAGAGTCTCATGATGGTTAGCGAGTTACAAGCACTAAATGTACATTTTAAAATATGCTTCTATTTACACAATTTAAACAGCAATCAAATGCTGGGATTGATTGACCCTGATATCTAAAAGTTTTAGACGTTTAGGTAAATCCTTTTCTAATTTGTTGTAATTCACATACAAAAAAGACAACTGCAATAGGAAAAAAAAGTATGATTTTATTTGAACACAATTTTTTTTTACCATTTTCTGGAAATGACCAAAATTGCGTTTTTAAACGTTTATACTGAAATGTTCATCGCACCAAGCGAAATTTCTTTTAAATGATTGCAAGCCATGGGTTAGAAAAACATCTTGTAAGTCGATATGACCGTGAGGTGTGAAATGATTAAAATCCCTTACAGTCACAATCCAAAAAGGATTATTTACGCTTAAAACGTGCTTACTCTAATGAAAAATTGAATGTTAGACTGAAAATGGAAAAACTAGCAGCAAACAAAACAAATACTTCCTATGATCTTTTTTTAATGTTCGCTTGAGTGTCATTTAAGAGGCCCGGATAAAACAGATAATAGGATATTTAGTGCAATGTGATATTTAAAAATGATAAAAGTTTCACACAAAAATTTCTTGACACAGGGCTTGTTTAAGTGAGCACGTATGCAAGTTTTCCCGATAGTTTGACTTCCTTTCGCAGATCTAGTATCCAATATTTATTTCTAGATACCACAAGAAGTGTTTGGACCGCTCACGGAGAGATACTCCTATACTGCCTGTCTTTTCCTATTAAAGATCAGTTTTGCCACTCTAAGGCTACAAGGCTTCTTGTGTTCTTTGATTTTCAGGGCTTTAAGGATTATTTATCTGTCGTATCAGTCAAACTACTGAAAAAGTCAAATGGTTCTGATTACAAACACCTTGATGTTTGGCTAAAAATACACACTGCGGCTCCTTTTATCAAGTCAGTTCTCCACAAGCTTAAAGTTAGGAACGGCTTTCTTGAACAGCACTGAATAGAATCATTCTTTCATTCAGCACTGAATCATACTTTTAAATATTAAAAAACTTCATGATTGGTGCCATTTGTCTAAAAGCAAATAATTATTCAGTCCTTTTTTGAAACCACGAAGTTTTGTCTTACTCTCCATGCCTCTCTTTAATAATTTAATAATAAGATCCATCTCAGTCGCCAATGCTGGGCATCAGCAAAAAACTGCCTGTCGATCTGCAAGACACTGACAACATTACTGGTACATGAGAAAATATCAAAATATCCCGTCTTCATGGTGTGGAACCTCGATAAAACGAAGGGCCAAGCGACCGGCAAAACTTGTTCTCTATACCGCCAGGTTTCGTTATATCGACGTGACGTTATTTTTCACTATAAATTTTACTACTGCTGTGGTATAAAGACAGGTAAAGAGCATAGTTCGTTTTTGGGCCGATGGACTTCGTTGCATAGAAGCTCCAGGGGCACCCAACGAGAATATAGTTCAAAACCACTTAAACATAACATTGTTGAACGTATTTTAGTATTTAAACAGCAGATTTAGGCATATTTTTATCCCCTAAAAATTTTTCGTCTGTTCGGATTTCCTAGCTGAAAGTCTAGTGATCCGAAAATTATAGGGTCAAAAATTACGTTTTTGAAAATTTCAGCCAGAAAAAAGGCTCCCGAAAATTCTAGGTGACCTTTTTAGGGTAAAAATCTGTTAATAATGGCAATTATACCATGTTTTAGAAAAACCCTAAGAGAGGCAGGCAAGTAAGAAGTTTGCCGCCAATGTTTCGAAAATTCTAGATCTCAAATCGTCTTCCGTATATTTTTCAAAAATTGTCGTTGGGTGCCCCTGAAGCTCGTTATATCGAGGTTCCACTCTATGTAGCTGTCCAAAAATTGCGATACAAGTAAAGTTTTTCTCCAGACCAACCATACGAATAGACTGCAAGGTGTCTTAGTGAATTAAAAAATATAGGAAACTTTTTTTTCCGTGAAATCCTTGGGAGATAAGAATGAAAGGTTCAGGGTTATTAAAGCTAATTACCTTTCTAGCTCATAATGTAGGTAAGGATAATTTCTACCGCGTGGCGCCGTTCATTAACATCTAAATGCTTAATTCAGAATTCCAAAATTTACTCCCAAATGATTACAGGCATATGTTTTAATAATTGTTGTCGCTAATCTTTATTTAAACGTGTTGTCCTATGTTAGTTGGCATAGCAAGCTAAGTGACTTTCGAGGTAACATGGCGCGAATCGTGATTTTTATTTATCTGTCGATGTTTATCTTTCTAATGTCAAATCTTGTGAGCCCGTCTTCATCTTATTCAGAATCAAAACAGAAACTAGAGGTAAGACTGAAAAATGCTACTAGGCACTAGTGATCACCAAGTTAACTTAATTTTCGTAGAGTTTTTACGGAGCGGAATATCCTTTCTTGTCCACATGCAACAAAACCATGCGCGGTCACCTTGTTCAGCGTAATGAATTTTAACTTCTTACCCCAGCACTGGGTATGCATAAGTTCTGGGTTATATTTACCAGTTTAAGCTATTCATGACAAACACTTTTCTATTTGAAGTCTCACTTTTTAATTGAAATTGATAGATCCGTCACCAAACGACTTATTTTAAGACAAAACTGTGGCCTGAAGTTGGTGCCATAAAAACTGATCCCCTCACTTTGTAACGGCCATATTCAGAAGCAATCAATTTACAAACATGTGTAATCATTGTTTTAAAACCGAAAATGTTCTACCCTTTCCTGAAAAAAATGAGATGTCATATCACATCCCTACTTTCCTACCGAAAGGTCACCTTTCGGCGATGAAGACTTTTCTCCAATCAAGGGCAGTTGTAGACAGGTTACTGTATTACTGAGTGCGTCCATGGGAAAATCTTATCAAGACTTTTCCTTTTCCATTTTAGAGAACTTTGTCAAATGTCGACATGGCTACAGCTGATTTAAAGTCATACATAGGAAAGAGGGTTAAACACGCTAAAATGATGGAGATGAACAAGAGATTCACGGATGGCGATGAACCTGGAGAAGAGAGAAAAAGTAAGCTTAAATAAATCGTTTTTTCTGCCCCACGTGAAACAAAAAAAGGCGTGAAATTTTACGGAGTTTAAGCAACCACGACATTATCGACAGCCGGTATTGCAAAAAACGGTACTAAAAGCCCATAATTGTTAAGTAAAACAATTCAGTCTTTCACATCTGCGCGCATGGTATATATTTGGTGTATTTTTCTATGAGGAGGTGAAAGAGGTTTTTGCGTGATCGATACGGGATGAAGTGTTTTTAAATTTCGTGAAAGGCGATATACAAAATAAAATCCGTGAAATACTGTCCTTTTACCCGGAATTTTAATCACCGTGCTGCGTTTGCTGCTTTTTAATGTCCCTGAAACGTGCGTAGGAACCTCCCCCAATTATCCACTTTTCTATTGCGTTCTGCAAAACAACAACAGCGTGATCAAATGATTCAATTCTAGGTTTCAAAGCAGTTTGTACAAACACAACTCTTCGTGAACTTAAAATTCCTCATCAGGAAACTTTTGATTTAGTCTCATCGCATTCGAAAATAAAACACGCATTGATTTTTAAAAAGGAATGCCTAATCAGGCTTTTTTCAATTGACATCTTCTTTGAAATATCTTTGTCATGCGCTATTAAATCCTACGGTCACTGACGAAAAGCGGTTTAGTTTTGAAAGAAAAATCAAGAAAGAAGATATTTTCTTTCTGAACAAATTTTCGCATTGTTTGTGATTGGTTTAATACAGCAAACCATTAAGTAGCCGAAATAAAAGAAAATTATAGTGTAAATTAAAACTACCGCTTCTCCATTAACGAAAGGCTTCCCATTAATTAAATAATTTCTTCAGCATGCAACATGTTTGTATTAAGTGGTTTCGCAAAAATGAAACCACACCATGTTTCTGCGGATAACTACCAATTATTGCAAACCAATCATCACCAAACTGAGAAAAGATCCTCTGAACTTTTGATATTAGTGCCGAGCTTAAGCAAAGACGTTTTTTTAGGGACGCGGGTGTCAACCGGAAGTGGACTTTTTGCATTCTTTGGCAGTAATAGAGAGGTTAAGCATCATGTTTACGTCAATTTGTACCACGTGACCAAGTTTCCCCTTTGCTTGTCGCCTACTGCTCATTATTTCTACACATAAATTAGTAGTTTCACCCAATTTTTTATCCATAAGAATTTTCCGAGCTGTTTTTATCTGCTCATTTTCTATTTTGAATAATTCGGAACTTGAATCTGACTTTTCCCATTTGCCGTATACGTGAAGCTTAAACTCTCTATTTTCGCCCAAAATTTTCGGGCTAATCGCCTTTAAAAAAGAGCAAAGACACTTAGCAATAAAATTTGATAGAGTCAAGGAATATTATTAAGAGAAAGCTTTCATTCGGCTGGTTGACGTGAGTTGCTCCCTATTAAGATCGACTACCGGACTGACTTATTGGCAAAAATTAAACAGCAACGAAAGACACTGTTTTGTAGCGTTTCATTTGAATTGTTACAATTTATTAGGACAGATCTAAGTCGAGTAAGACTCCAGAAAAGCTAGAATTCATATAAAAATGAGCACTTTTAACCTTTTCACGTCTGGCTGTTGATACAGGAGCTGTTAAACTGCCTATGCAGCATTGTCGCCCCTATCCTACTATTGTGAAAGTAGAAAAGCCAGGAGACCAAGAAAGGCTTTACTGGCCGAGCTTTGTGGAGTTACACCGCTGTGCCGGTGGATGCTCTTCAGGTAGGTTATTCTTTTTATTGGAGAGATATTAGGTATAGAGAGATTAAGTATTTCGTTCACCGGACGTAGTTTACTTCAATTTGTACCACGAGACCAAATTTTCCCTTTACTTGGCGTTTAATGTTGATTATATCCACATAAAAGTTAGCCTGAATTTCAGACATTATATTCGTGTCGCCTACTCCCCCACTGGACGTCATTAACGACCTGTCGATTTAGAGGTTACTGAGGGAGCAAGCGAGTCAAGATAGTGTCTAAAATTCAGGCTAGACAAAAGTTAAAATTTCGCGCCAGGTTCATCACACAAGAATTATTTCAGACATTTTTTGTCTGCTCATTTACAAATTTGAGAAATTGCCAACTTGAATCTGACGTTAACCAGTTGCTGTAAAAGTAAAAGTGATTCTAAACCTCTCTATTAAAAGCACCGTTTACTGCAAGCGGCAGAGATGAGACCATGTATCAATTGCGTCTCCAGTCCATTTTTGGTTCACGCGAAGCTTAAGCACAAGACGCGATGATTACTGATAAAATTACTATAAACCAACGCACATATAAATGTAACTGACACGAATTGCGCTCTGCTCTTTGATCTTTCACAAAATGACATGCACTTTGTTTCCTTTTTTAGCGCTTCAGTGTACAGTGAAAAAACAAGAGGAGGTTACTATCCTCGTCGAGGATATCAACAATAACTTAAAAAAAGCCGAAATTTCTCTAAGTAATCATACAGCCTGCAACTGTAGCTGCAAACAGGAGTGTAATCGTGCGAAGCAAAGGTTCAGAAAGGATACGTGTAGCTGCGAATGCATCGAAGATGGAAGCCATTGTAATGAGAACGACAATAAAAAGTGGAATAAACGACTCTGCAAGTGCGAATGTCTGCTGCGCCTTAATTGTTGCTTGTCAGAAACATGGAGTGAATCTTCATGCAAGTGCGAAGAGAAAGACCCATCCATCCCGGCGTTTTAAATTATAATCTATTAACTGCACGTATTTTAAATAACAAGACTTGTTAAAAATGTAATAAAAGTTAATTTTAACGTCTGTTCCCCTTTTTGTAGTTTTAAGTTTCAATTTGCATTCTTTTTCACCCGACTAGCAGAGCTTTTCTTTCGCTTACTCGATTTTGTGGTACTTAAGGAAGACTCTGCATGAATCGACGCTGCATAGTATGTTGCTTGGATACAGTTGTACAGCGGGCTCAGTTATGACCATTGGTTTATCAATAAAAGGATGCGCGCACTCGGAAAACCAGTTTGACGATAGAGAAAAAGATTGACTAGTCCAAGAATTTGGGATTCGGCAAGTTCAAAGAGTTGACGTGACTCACGAAGAGCCTCCTTTTTAACCAAAGAGAGGCTCTGCCAAAAAGAGCGTTTCACATGACGTCACATCCGCTGTATTGGTGTCCGAAAACAATTAAACAGCGGTCATGTTTGTGTCCGTAAGCAAACCTGTGGGAGTTGAAGACCGACGCTGAACATTTTTCTATTGTTCCAATAAGTTTGCAGAGCTGCTGGCCACGTGAGTGAAAAAGGACTTGGGGGAGGGGGGGGGGGGCACTCCTGGGAATTCTTGGTGGGATTGTGCCGCCCGGTTCTCCAATTTCCACACCCGTTTTCAG